TGGGCACTCTGACACTCTTCTCAGACACCAGATGGGGCAGGAAAACAAAACCATCTCTTTCCAAAGGGGTCCAGAATGGGGGTCGTGCTGGGAGAGAAGGCAGAGACACACAGCTCGAAGCTCCTGAGCAAAGGAACATCCAGTGAACCTGGTTTCACAGTGTGAAAAATTGGGAAAAGTGGGATGCAAAAGCCTGTCCCAGACCACGGAGTTTGGTCCCAGTGTGACGGGCTGGGAGAAGCTGTTTTTGTGTCACTTGCTGGTGGCTGTTGGAGGACCATGTCCCCACAGGGCTGCCAGTACAAGTCCAGGGCTGCCAGGCAGTTCACCCCAAAGAGGGATGAAGGACTTTCCCCACCTCCTTCCCCAGAGCACAGGGGCTGCATCCCAGCATCACCACACTCCTGGAAAAGGTCACCTCTTTTTGTGGGACAGCACAAAGGGAACAAGCCTGGGGAGCTTTGGGTTACGGGGTTTTTTTTGTTTAAAAACTGTTTAAAAACCCAATGCTAATGTAAACACCTTGTCTTTCAAATGAAATATAAAGTAAAATATCTATGTTCTGGTAATATTTACATTATAAAATCCTTATTTTCAAGACTATGACATAGCTCTCTCTTTTGGAAGCATGAGTTTATAACAATTGTACACAGCATGAACCAATTATGCAGAATTTCTAGCTGTTGCCCTATATTCACCTGTCAGGAAGGGTGGGTCACACCGTTTGTACATATTTCCATTTCAGGGGAAAAAAATGATTAATGGAGCTCAACGCTCCCTCCAGGAGCACCTCCAAGTCTCCTTTCAGAACCTGCAAGGATGTAGGAAGCAGCATCACTGAATTGTGCTTTACCTTCTGTGTTGACACCTCCTGTGAGCCTGCACACAGCTCAGCCACCCCCTCGTGCCTGTCTCAGCCTAAACTGTCATCTCAGAGCTCAAACACCTCCAGATTGCCTTCTTTTCTTCAAAGATGGGCAGGGATTCCTGTTTGCTGACATCACTCCTGGGTGAACAGGCACTTCCCAACGTGCACAGTCCAAGTTTTCCAAGGCTAATGCACAAGCAACAACCCTGGCAACATCTGTGAGTGTAAAATCATCACTATTTGCCATCTGACACATTTCTGAAGTCCCCCCCACCCTGTTCAGCACGTGCTCCCATCCCTTCCTGTGCCTCTGAACAACAGCTGCATGGAATTTTGGAAAGATCCCTTCTTGTTTCCCCCCATATTTCCCAATTCTCCCATGAAGCCAAGCTCTCCATCCTGGCAGATGGAGAACAAACACTCCCAGCATGTTGCCAGCAGCAGCCTGAGACTGACCTCGACTTGAAATCAAACACCAGACACCTGGCTCTGAGCCTGTGTCCACACAGGGAAAACACAGAGGGACAATTTTCCCCCTTTTCATATTTTGATGCATTTACCCCAACTCCATGAGACAGCTCAGGGAGGCTGGGGTCCCACCGAGGGTCAGGCTGGGGCTGTGCTCCTTCTCCAGTGCCACAGATGTGTATTTTACCTGCCCGAGTGGTAAAACAGGAAGGCACAGGAGGGGCTGCCTGTCTTTAAAGCATTTTCTAAACCCTTGGGGCCTTCAAAAATGGAGGGGAAATGAAAAAGGATGAAGCAAGCAGAGGAACGCAGAAATGCAACAAGAGCCTGCTCAGAAACCCTGCCCTGAAAAAACAGCAACCAATCTATTTTTCTAGCAGGGCTGTGAGCTCTGCCTCCCCAGCCTCTTTGCCTGCCTGTGTCCTTGTCTGCATCTCTGCAGGGCTTGGGGCTAAAACACCAAAAGTGCTCACTATCTGTGCACTTCCTGATGGTTCATCTGTGGCTGCGACAGAACTCGGGCTTGTTCCAGGAGGTTTCTCACAATGGAAATGTGACGTAAATACTCTTCACAGAAATGCCTTTTTTAAATCCTGCTTTTTGCTGGGAGGCTCTATTAGGAACCTCCACATTTACAGCAGTGTTTTTTCTGGAGTTAAACCAGCTCAACTTGAAGGTAGAGCTTTTTATCCATCACCGTGAGACACGCTAAGGGCTGAAGAAAAAGTCCATCAGCATCAATCAGTAAACTGGGTCTGCTTCTCTCTCTCTCTGAGGCACCCCCTTCAGAACAGCTATCAGGGTTGTATTTAAGTCGTATATATGGACAAAATGGAATCTACCTCAGTAAGCTTTGTGCCATTCAACAGTACTACTATTAAATTTATATACCACAGTTTAAATTACATCCATTTCATGAATGGTAAAATGCTAAAACTCAAGTGTCTAACTGCCAAAATACAGCCTTACTGGAATGAGTACAATTTACAAATACAATAATTACATTTTAAAACCATTAACAATGTTACATCTAGAAGTAAATACTGTAGGACTGGTCAAGACGGTGTTTTCCAAGGAAAAGATGCTGAAAGTTGTTGACACTTCCAACAGAAATGTCCCGAGTGCAGGATTTAGTTCATTTTCCTTAAACTGTGATTAAAACCCGTTCCACGCACAGCAGTCCTGGGGTATTTTCCATGTCATTCTCCATAGACTTGCATAAGCTTCCATCAGTTATCAGCCAAGTATTTACCTGGAAATGGGATCAGAATTCAGCTGCAGGGAGGGAGCAGCCCTGGTTCCCAGGGAATGGTGCAGCCCTGATTCCCAGGGAATGGAGCAGCCCCGATTCCCAGGGGATGGAGCAGCCCCAATTCCCAGGGGATGGAGCAGCCCCGATTCCCAGGGAATGGTGCAGCCCTGATTCCCAGGGGATGGAGCAGCCCCGATTCCCAAGGAATGGCACAGCTCTGATTCCCAGGGGATGGAGCAGCTCTGATTCCCAGGGGATGGAGCAGCTCTGATTCCCAGGGGATGGAGCAGCCCCGGTTCCCAGGGG